AATTGCCCAAGTATGTCCTGTACACAAAAAGCAGGACAAATCCTACCCGGCCAATTACTGCCCCACTCTCGATCATCAGTAAAGTAACGGAGCATATCATCGGCAGTGCTATCAAGCAGCACCTGCTCAGCAATAACCTGCTCAGTGACGCCCAGTTTGGGTTCCGCCAGGACCACTCAGCTACTGACCTCATTACAGCCTTGGTTCAAACACAGACAAAAGAGCTGAATTCCAGAGGTGAGGTGAGGATGACAGCCCTTGACATCAAGGCTGCATTCGACCGAGTGTGGCATCAAGGAACCCTAGCAAAACTGGAATCAATGGGTACTGGGGGCAAACTTTCCAGTGATTAGTCATACCTGACACACAAGAAGATGGCTGTGGTTGTTGGTGGTCAATCAACTCAGCTCCAGGACATTTCTGCGGGAGTTTCTCAGGGTGGTGTCCTAGGCCCAGCAATTTTCAGCTGCTTCATCGATGACCTTCCCTCCATCATAAGGTCAGAAGTGGGGATGTTAGTTGATGATTGCACAATGTTCAGCACCATTTGCGACTTCTCAGATACTGAAGCAGTCCATGTTCAAATGCAACAAGATCTGGACAATATCCAGGCTTGAGCTGACAAGTGGCAAGTGACATTTGTGCCACACAAATGCCAGGCTATGACCATCACTAATAAGAGACAATCTAACCACCACCCCTTAACATTCAATGGTGTTACTATCACTGAATCCCCACTATCAACGTCCAGGGGGGTTATCATTGACCAGAAACTCAACTCGACTCACCACAGTGACTACAAGAGCAGGTCAGAACTAGGAATACTGTGGGAACTAACTCACCTCCTGACTCCCCAAAGCCTGTCCACCATTTACAAGGCACAAGTCAGGAGTGTGATGGAATACTCCCCACTTGCCTGAATGAGTGCAGCCCCGACAAACTCAAGAAGCTTGACACCATCAGGACAAAACAGCCCGCTTGATTGGCACCACATCCACAAGCATCCACTCCGTCCACCACCAACGCTCAGTAGCAGCAGTGTGTAATATCTACAAGATGCATTGCAGAAATTCACCAAAAATCCTCAGACAGCACCTTCCAAACCCACGACCATTTCCATCTAGAAGGACAAGGGCAGCAGACATATGGGAACCCCACCTCCTTCAAGTTTCCCTCCAAGCCACTCACCACCCTGACTTGGAAGTATATTGCAGTTCCTTCACTGTCACTCGGTCAAAACACTGGAATTCCCTCCCACATAGCATTGTGGGTCAACCCACAGCAGGTGGACTGCAGCGGTTCAATAAGGCAGCTTACCACCCCCTTCTCAAGGGCAACAAGGGATGGGCAAGAAATGCTGGCCAGCCAGTTTTGCCCACATCCCACAAATGAGTAAGAACAAATTCACGATTACTCTGCACAATTTCATAACAATGGCCAATCCATCTAACCCGCACATCTTTGGTCTGAGGGAGGAAACTGGATCACCTGGGGAAGACCCACACAGACACAGAGAGAATGTGCAAGGTTCACACAGACATTCGCGTGAGGGTGGAATCAAACCTGGGTCCCTACCTGGTAACCACGGAGCCACTGCACCACACTTGGGGGACTGGAGTCTGGATGACCCATTCATGCCAAGGGGCAAGTCTGGACTTCAATTTTGAAGGTTGCACGGGTGTAGGTGGAGGGCCAGCCACTTCTGCAATGTCCTGAAAGGAAAGAGCAGTAGGATGTATGTGTGGGACCACTTCTAACTGTATGCCACCTGACACTGCCTCATCTCTTTATGAGGACAGGGCAAGGATCTTCCCATCTCCCATAACCTCATTGCCATGGGTCAGGCCAATGGAGTGCACATGTGTGCACCTTTCCAGCAGCCCTGAAGGTGCTGGGTCTTGCTCATCCTGGCAGCCAGTAACCTATCCATAGAGACAGGCAGGCAATCACATGATCCACTGCACTGATGTAGATTCTGGGCAATGACAGCCATTGTGTCCCATTTGCCTATCTGCAGTTGATACTGTGCCCTATGCATTTGGATGAAATCCCTGTTTGCTGACACCACAGGGTTGTCTCCTGCCTGGGTTGAGCAAGCGTCTAGTCCTCATAATCCTTTGTGTGCCAGCTGTTTCTTCCTCTGCCAGCTGCAGACCTGTCACCATGAGGTGCTCATCAGATTGTGCACCCTCACTCTCTGTGTCTCCAGTTTTCACTGAAGTGTCAGCATCTAGGCTGGTGGGGGTGCAGGTGGCAGCCTTCCCAATGCTTTCTCTGAGGCCTCAGTACTCCTGTGCTCAAAGGTTAAGGATGGGGCTTCTCGTGGAGCCAGGCATTTCTTTACAGGTTGGCAGAACTGGCAAGACAAAAGAAAGAGGCAGACAGTGTTTAGAAGTCGCATGTGATGATTGAGAGTGGCAGCAGGGTTAATGTGAGAGTTGCATTGGAATGAAGAATGGTACTTACTCATTTAGCAGAACATAGATGTTTGAGCTTCTCCATAAGAGCAGTCCAGGTCTTCTGCTCTGAGAGTTAGGATTCTGTCCTCAAGACAGTGAAGACCCAGATGTCAGGCACCCCTTCACCCATCTGGGCTCTCTCTGCCCTGATATGGCCTAAGTACTCCTGTAATCAGCAAAAGGGGGTAAATGAGTGAGATTGCAATGGGTGGCACAGCTATTAGTGCTGGTACATGTGCAGAAAAGGTGGTGAGATGTACCAAAGGACTGAGGTTGGGGTGGGCAGAAGTGAGTGTGGCAAGCTGTTATATCTGACAGTGAAAGTGGAAGGGCATGAGCCTTGTTTCGAGGTGAGCGTAGTGGCAGAGATGGATTTAGTGTGAGGGAGCAGGGAGAAGATTGTGGCACTCCTCCTGGCAGGGAGGATAACAAAATTTATCCACCTTTCTACATTGCTAGATATTTTTCACACCAGCCCATCTCCAAGTCCCTCTCAGAGAAATGTGTTGCTCTGTTCCCTTCTCGTCCATGTCCATGACCCTGTCCATCAACCAGCTGGACAGTTTCAGAATGCTGGAGCTTGTCCAACTGCACAGCAACCTTTTAAAGATGGCACAGACACAAGGGATGCCACCCTCTGGGTAGAAGTCCACTGAGTGGGTGAAATAGGGTGAAAATCAGACACTATAGGGAGGGAGTAGGTGATTAATGCAGTGAGCTTGATGAGGTATGATGATGATAATTTGCTAAACCTTCCAGTGAAAAACCCTCCAAAAAACTCAATGCAACTTGGGCATAGCTAAAAAACGTAAGATTCAGACCGTAGGGTTTATAATAAAAAGCTGGAGAAACTCAGCAGGTCAGGCAGTATTTGAAGAGTGATAAACAGAGTTACCATTTTGAGTCCAATATGGTTCTATTTCAAAACAGCATTAAATTTAAAAAGAATTGGAATTACTAAGCCACTGTCATACTTTCCCCACCCCTAGTATTACATTTTTTACACATAGCACAAAATATCCTTCCTGATAGTTGTGTTTTTATTCATGGCAAATGAAAATTTCCATCAGCAGCCTGCCTCAAAATTGAGGCCACCCTGAAGTGGTCATTAATTGTCCACTTAAGGACCTCAATCAGGGTTAGGGTGGGTCTAGGCCTTGTCTGTCTTACAGTAAAGATGTAGAAAGATCAGAGCAGGTGGGAAAGTATTGGGAAGACTATCCAGGAAATTCTACAGATCCCCTCCAACTACCAACCTCCAAATGTAGCAATGGTTGGACATAAAATTCTGCCCAGTGTTTCAGATTCTGGTGACCAACTTATCCTGTTGTCAAAGAGTCAGCTTCTCTCTTTTAGAACTAAATGACACAAGAATTGTAGGCATGTGGAATTTGGATGCTGTTGCCATAACTAAAATTGACGTAAGCGTCCCACAGTTATTGTAGAATATACATGCCTCTGAATTTGATGCAATATAGGCAAAAAATACATTGGTACTGTGACAAGAAATTCTATGAAATGAACTACAATTCACTGACATACCTTGGCAATATATAACTTAATTTGTCATTTTACAATGATCATTTTCCAAATCAAATGTGTATGGCTTCTACAGTAAATCTGGCAAGATCGACCTCCATAATCTTGAAAAAATTGGCCATGATGATGGCAAATAATGGGGAGAAATTCTAACGGTAAGGTGTGCCACCACCTGTTAATGTTATATCAATTGTGTTTAACGAAACAAATTTCAATTTAATGGTTAAAAAGAGAAACAGTCTCTGGAACTGAGGTAGAATCTGATTTGGCAGTGTATGATTGTAATGTTTCACTCTGTAAGTACATCTTAGATTGAATAAAGTTACCTCCAGTGATGCCCTTCATAAATTGGGTTTCTTTAATAAAGCACTACTCACCTAGCATCAAGATTACTGCTCGCTGCTCCCTTCCCATCTACCCCATGCAAATGAAGCACGGGATAGGGTCCAGATCCTCTATTGATTTTTCTGCTCTCCATTCCACTTCCAGAGCACCAAGTGAGCAAAGCCATAGCCTCATGAAGCAATACAAATAGCTGAGTTCAAAGATCAGAGAGGACCTTGCAGAAGCCCCCTTGAGTTGAACATTTGCTGCTGAAAGCCTCAGTCTTGGCCAAGCGCTTCAGTTGACACAACGAACAGGCCATTCCTGCTCCTCCAAATGGTACACCTGATTCTTTCTGTTGCTGTTGCAACAGCATTGAAATTCTTCAGTGGACTCCAACAGGTTATATGTTGGAACAAGACCCATGTCAGATACCTACAATGGCAAGAAATTATCCCAACCCATGGAAATGAGTTAGGATTGGAATAGATGCAGATGGATGTCCCATTCCCGGAAATTCCAAAGGATAAAGATCCGGACTTCAATCTTCTTTCATTTTGAGACTTAGAGAGAATAATTCCCCTAAGATTAAGAAATGGAGAATTAGGTAATTTGTGTCTGTGGACAGGTTCCATGGGGATCCTAACTAACTGCTTAATGGCATTTCCTTGTTCTCAGGTAATCCGGGATATACTGATGATTGGCCACCGACAAGCTTTTGCCTGGGTCGATGAATGGTATGGTAAGTGGAACTGTTTGCTTTCAGCTCTGTTCACAAGCAACTCAGTTTTTCCATGTCTATCATCTTAAATATGGTACAAAGACATGACTAAAAAGACATAACACAAAGGCTTGCTACCAGAAGATTTTTCTGACTTTGAGAAAAGATTTATTTAAAATCTAGTGGAAAATGGAAAGATTTTCAGCAGTACTACGTCTTTGAGAACCAGCTTTACATTTGAGCCTTTAGGTCCCTTTCTTACGTCATTACTCAGGTAAGACCATTCAATCCCTGTGGCCCACTACACCATTTAATTAAATCATGTCTCATCTGCACATCAGCTCCCATTGCCCCATTACCTGGAGACATTGAACAAACAGACTACCAGATGTCACAACTCCATCTGTGCTTCCAACTCACAAAAGGCTGTTGGAAGCTGTTTAAAGATAAAGAATTGTCTGATCTACGTTTGGAACGTACATAATGGTGTGATTTTAAAAAATTCATAAAGTGTGACCTTTTGGCACCCTTAAAGAAGATTCTCAAAATCAGATCCCATTTGAATTTTACTCTCTGGTTTTTCTATTTTATTCCCTCCTTCCCTCTTGTGTTGGAGGACCCTGCAGTCATCCATATACTTGCAGCCATTCTTTCTGTATGAGTTTGAACACTAAGTGATAGTTGTCACAGCTTAACCTAAATCGGTCCACATATGATATTTACATAGATGTGTTTCTAATTGGAGTTATTAAATGGAATGGATTGGGCACACTGGCTATTTTTATCCCTGTCCCTACACTAGAGACTTTGAAGACAATTTACTAAATCTTCATTGCTTTCCTTGCTGAACATTGGTGTCCCCATATACTTCCAAACCTCTTCCTATGCCACTTCATTATCAAGTCAACAACAGCTTTTGCGTGGTTCACATTTCTTTCTCTGCCCACTGCCTTGTTGTGAAGCATCAAGCCTTACTCTGTATCACCATCCAACAGCATTGCTGTGCCCAGGAGCACCTGTATAAGCAAGATTTCTTGCTATTTAAGTTTGTCGCTTGATCTTCTAATTTCACTGGAGCAGAATATTCTGAATGACATCATTTCCTAACTCTTGGTTTTCTCTTGTTTACTAATGCACAACCTTTATATATATGAGTTTACTGCAATTCTATTTCATATTATGAAATCACATCTATGCAGAGTATTTCAGGTGATAGTTTCAATGAACTTATAGTGTCAATTGTCTTAACTAGTCACAGGTAAAGACTACCTGTTTGTGTTGAGCATTTTAGTAATCATTTCAATAAGGATTTGCATTTTTATCAAGCCCTCACCTGTTTATAAAAAGTGAGAAACCAATTCCAAAAGGTAGGTATTGCTTTTTCACAGTTTCATAATATCTTAATAAGGGTTGAACATATTAGTCTAATTAAGAGTTAGTTTTATTTTGATACATTGAAAAATCTGAAATGTCTGACTTGAGGTCTTGTAGCAGGTATTCTAATGATCTTCTGAAAACAACTTTCTTGAAGATCTTTTTGGCTTCTACTTTCACATTTCCTACTGATCGCACCTGCGCTGCTCCACTCTTTCCCCCTTTTTTCTCCCTAGAGCACTCCTTCTACTGCTAACCCTTTTTTTTTCTCCACACCTTTTCTCTCCAACTGGCCAATGTACATGAATCTCGTGCCCCGCTGCTTCTGGAACCTTCCATGTCTGCACCTAGAATGTTGTCTTTTTTTTTATGTTTTCCACCCAGAAACCACTACATGCCTTGAGTTTAATGTCCTCAGTAGAAAATGCCAAGAAACATCTTGAACTTTTTACAGATATGACTATGGATGACGTACGGAATTATGAGAAAAATATGCATGAACAAACGAACATAAAAGTTTGGTTTGATCAGCCTTCCACAAATTCTCCTTCCGCGGATGAAATACAGAGTGATGGCAACGCAAGCGTATGTTACATTTTTCCTGAAGTACATTTTGAAACAAACCACCCATACTTTGGAAATTAAGGATATCAAAATGTTTTCCCTTTAAATAAAAATCTATAAGCACAATGGCAACACAAAATTAGGCATTAGTGAACTAGAAGTTTCATGTCATGGGGCTCTTTTAGGGTCAGAGTTATTTTTTGTCACTGAGCTGTGCTGTAAAATCAATGTCTAACCCCTTTTCCAGGTGTGCGCATCTTGAAGTTCACTATTGCCATAGATAGATTGGCATTTACTCCCTTCACCCTTCAGACCAGATTACAATGACACATGCTGGATAATAACTTCCTGAATACTGCCAATATTTCTGTTCCTCACCCAATCTGAATGTACTTCACATGAGCCGATACAATGGTTTGCAGCAAACTATTCAACAATGGAAGCCACCATAGCCAAGCACAAATCTGTTTTAATTAACGTCTGCATACATAAGTAGTGAACAGCACAAACCAGGATCAAGCTTGGAGATAGTTCTTCTCACTATTGTTCAACACATCACACAGCATGACTGAGGCAACAACTAGATTTTCTTTGACATGTAAATAAAATATTACACTGCAGTTATATCGACAGTATTGTGAATCATGAAGGTAATCACACCAAAAGCAGAAAGGAGGAGTAACTTTGATCCAATTGATTGAATTGAATAGAACTAAATTTGATTGACTGCATCACATTGCCCAATTTTACTTCCTGTTGTCATCACTACAAAACTAAATGTCAGTGGAGTTTCAAATAGTCAATTCAGGTACTTTATCGTCCTGGCAGGGCAGTTAATTTAAAATTACTGTCAAGGTCTTTTTTGCACACAGGCACACAGAACAGTTTAAAAGTGAAAAATCACATTGTCAGAGAGTATAGCAGGGAGTTTTACAACGTAATTAATCATATTGCTTGATATTGATTCATCAGTTATCATTGAAGTTTACCAGTTTGTAATTAATGAAAATTTAAATTTCATCCGAAGTATTACATCTTGAATATGATTGATTTTGTACTGATTTTGACTGGGTATCCTAGCAGTGCAAAAAATAGAAGCACCCTTAGAGACATTGACCCCAGAGAGATGACATTTAGCAATTTCTGGGAGTCAGAAATAAGAGCAGAAGTAAGGTGCTTCTTTATCAGGACCAAATTCAAAGAAATATGGAAATAACAAAAGAAAATGAATTACAGGAGGGTGCTTAACAACACTTGAGTAGAACACAGATGGAACACTGCTTGAGCTGCGAGTGACCAAAGCGGAGATTGTAAAAATGAAAAATTTTTCAACATTATTTCCAAATAAGAGGAGAAATTTGAACTCATTCCATAGGGAGGAGAGAATGGTGAACACTTGAAGTGAGGTGGCTTCATTTCCCATTGTGTTGCTAATTTACAGTTTGAATGCTATTAAGTGTGTTGGCAGACGAAGCAACAGCTGGGCTCTGGCAGGAGCCACATGCATAATTGCTAAGCACCATCCCATGCCCCAAAGGACTCCAGAGACGTTTACCTTGTCCCAACCAAAGAGCCTGCCTTGGCCACCCTGCTTAGTGACCCCTGTTTTGAAGCCAGTGGAGGCCTGGCAATGCAAGTTTCTTCATGGGGCCTGGCAAAGCAAGTGTACAGTTCTTTGTTCCACCACAGTATTCTGAGATGCTGTTACCCAGACTCCCACCATCAAAAGACTCTGCTAAACATCGTTGTTTCTCCCATCTCCACAACGTACCTGAGAACTTTGCTGCCTGAACTTCCTCTCCGATCTCTCAGCCAGTTGCTGTTTCCCGTAAGTTTCAGGTGGACATCGAACCACTGGTATATGGATCAGATTGCAGATCAATACATTGGCTCTGAAATCTTTTGTAACCAATATATAACAGGCTTACCCCATCCCCACCCAAAACCCACTGAGTGTTAAAGCTCATTCTGATTTGTCTCAAACTGGTTCTTGATTTATAATGTATTATTACATGACCCTGGACTTGTGTGGACCCTGCCAAAAATAATGCCAAATATTGTTCTGTGACTCAAATTGCAGTCACAGGAAATGGATGGTGTTTAAAATATTATACCAGTTAAACCAAAAAATAACATCCAGAATTATAGTTATGGATTTTGCCTTTCCAAGCGTGAGTGTCTTTGAAGTGGAATACAAAAATGTGAATTATTGGTGCTTACATCTTTTCATTGGTCCTGGTAGTATTGGAAACAATTTGAAATGATGAATTAAGAATATTATTCCAGGAATGTGTCTTAAACATGAAAATAATTTCCTGTTCAGTTTGACTATAAGAGCTGATTGTAAATAAATATTGGCAGCTTTAAAGTATTTTAATATGGAAAATATAACTTTGTCTGCAGTAAACTTTGTTTGAAAAAAAGCTAAAAAGACCAATCGTAAGTGAACTGTGATGCATTACTGTGTATTTTGCCAATGTAAAGCTCCTTACAATATTGTACATTTCAGGGTTGCAATAGTCCTTCTGAAAAGGTTTTTTTTTCATGAATTTCAAAGTGAGGACTTTATTCAGCACTTTTTATATTTAATTGTATATAAATTAAATTAGTACATACATACTTAGATCAGAAACCTGGGGCTGGATTTTACAGTTCCCTGGGAGTAGATTTTGAAGGGGAGGGTGGGAGGCAAGGTCTTGTAAAATGTAGTGTGTAGTCTTCTCACTGCTTTCCCACCTGCTCATCCCTGACATGTCTGATGTTACGGCGGGAGGCATCAGCCAGCCCACCCACCCATCCGTATGCCTCTTGAGAGCCTCAGGTACCTTATGCACCACCATGGCTATTTAATCCTCCAGAATCTCCTCACCTTTGAGGACAGGCTGTCGTCCCAGCAGTGCTACCACTCAGATCTGGTGCTGCTGAGACTACAGAGCTGCAGACCAATATGAAGTGGGGACTTCCTTCCCAGATGAGGCTGAATTCTCAACCTGAGACAATTAGCACTTTGCCAAACGTAAAACGGCTGTGTGCCACCTGGCTGTTTTTTTAGATGGACTCCCAATAAAATTGTTGGTCGGGTTGGGAAGTACAGTGAATATAGTGTCCTGTAAAATCTAGCCCCAAATGTATGGGAGGCCATGGGTGGAAATCTACAGGTATACAAGAACAGCATGTTGTTCCGACTTATTGCACCATTCAACATTTTATAGAATTATAAATGTTATAAATCATGGACTCGGAGCAGTAAAAGAAGTAACTTGCTTGTTCTATCATGTTTTATTTAAGACTGAAACATTAAATAAGTAGTGAACTGGAATCAGTATATTGTTCTGTCTGTCACATTGAAATTTATATATATATTATTTCCCCTTTAATCTTCAACTGATAGACATGACAATGAACGAAGTTCGAGAATTTGAACGAGCGACTCAGGAAGCCACCAACAAGAAAATTGGAATTATTCCTCCTGCGATTACTATCAGCAATATAGTTATGCCTTCGTTAGCCCGCAGTGGACCTTCTAGTGCCCCGACCACACCTCTTGCCTCAGAAGCTCCAGAATTTCTGGCCATTCCCAAGGATCGACCTCGAAAAAAGTCTGCTCCAGAGACTCTTACCCTTCCCGATTCTCAGGAGAAACACCGTGCTGCCATGGTACCTGATATTGAAGCCTCTGGCGAGCCATCTGAGCCCAAGCACAACTGATTTTTGTCTCTGACCTTTGGCTTTGTTTTCAGATTTCAGTATAAGATTTTTTTTTAATTCATTATCTTTTTACTTCTTAATTGATATGTCCTGTTTTCTTGACCCCGAATATATTTCACAAAGGAAATAATGTATTCTACATCCGGTTTTTGTTCATTAAATTAAATAAGAAGCTTTTCACCAAACGGTAAGATCAGTGTAGAGTGCACAAATTTTACAAATTAAATTCTCCAGATGCTGATGACAAGCCAAGTCTCTTGCCACTACCTCATATTGAAAATGCATGAAAGGTTTATCTAACGTTTTCCTGGCTTTGATTTGCATGAGCTTAAAATCAAGAACAACGCTACATGATTTTCCAATTTCCACTGGAATATGGGTGAGGTTGCTGGATTATAGCAGGAAGAGTTATCTCTACATATTTAGCATTTACACATCAGTATTTCAATACAATAAAGTTTAAGCACATTTAAAAAGCTCTTGTGTGAGCTGGGAAATGGTTGTGTTAGGTCAGCAGATACGCAGCAAGAAGTGTTTTGATAACTTGAGACTGGAATCATTTGCTCACTCCTTGTGGAAATTAGCAGCAGCTAGCCAGGCATAGAAAGTTCCAGAGTAGTCACAGCTGTTGTTTTAGACCTGGGTCCATATGCTGGTTAACTATGTTCTTTGGCAATTATCAACACAACTTACCAGTGATAGGTTACAGAATAAAATCATCAAAAGACACAATGCAGAATTAAGCCATATGGCCCTTAGTGTCTTATCGACCTTTAAAAGAGTTTTTCAATTACTTCACTCTCCTACTTTTCCACCAGCAATGGCCAGCAAAATATTCCCCTCCAAGTATTTATTCTGTTCCTTTGTGTAAGGTACAATTGAATCTGCTTCTACCACCCATTCAGGCAGTGCATTTCAGATCATAATAACTGACTGTATTAAAAAATTCTCTTTATCTTATCTCTGGCTCTTTTGCCCGTCAATTTAAATGTGAGTACCAATTCTTCTTCTGGTTCCAGATGGTGAAGTAACAAATCCCCCCTCCACCAACTTGCCAACTAAGTTTGCCACTCAATGTTTCTTGAGCCAAAAATGGAGCCAGATTCAATCCACAGTCTGTGATAAATCAGTAGAATCTCTATAATTGGCCTCAGTGCCATCGTACTAGGATGGGGAAAATCGACATAGCTTGTTTCTTTTGTCCATTATCTAATGGTCCCTGCTAGGAATCTGTACCATCTTGTTTGCCAAGACAGAGCAAGACTAGGCAGTGACAATCTGGTATCTTCCTTAACAGTCTATCTTGTATTTGAATATTTGCTCCATGGGTAAATTAAATTTAATCGTTGCATCTGGAATATTGAGTCAAATAGGCTTCCTATTTTTAAAAAATGTCAAGGCCCATGAATATGGATGTTATTGTGTGTGAGCATGATAACACTGGGTTGTTCTCAGCACTTCCACAACTGCAGGTTTGGAAAAGGAGAGTCATCAATAGAGTTTATACTCCCTGAATCAGTTAAGGGTGAATACAAAGTTTCCTTATGTAAAGTATTTGCCATCTGCACTGATAATCCATTTGAAATGGAGGATAATTGTCACATTCACAAGGTGAGTTTTAAATACTTCAACTTCTATTGAAACTCGGTTCCACTGGTGAAGCATTTTCCAGTGTACCTTAATTCATTTCTTGAAACTATTAAAGCTTCATCCCAGAGTCGCTAAACTGTTGCTTTTCTTGGCTCCCACCAATGTGCCAAAGATAAGATGTTGATGCTGTAATAATTGCAGGACAATGCAGTGTTATGACATAAATCCATCTGCTCTTCTGTTTTGCCGAGTGAAGGTGCCAAACATCAAAAAAGACTTTTAAGAGATAATATTGAGTGAATGATTTGTCAATAGCAGAACTACATACCATGTTTGGGGCTTTTCATAGGAGAAATTTTAAAGAAATCCCAATACCATATTTTTGTAAACGTAGCCTGAATTCTGCATTTGATTGATTTAATCCATTAAATCTTTCATCCTTAGTTGCCCACACAAAACAAATGCAAAAAACTAAATCAACTTAGATTTCATTTTTGGTAGAAATTTTGACATTATCAAGATGAACATTAATCTTTAAACCCCACGCCCTAATCCATTTAAGAAAAATCTTTATAAGAAAATGCACTGCTGATCATTGATAATCGTGCACGTAAATGCCAAGCCATTGAATCATTTTAGGAAATAAGAAGGAAAGGAGAGGGAAAGAAGTGGACTGTTGAGTAAAAGTCATGGCATTTGTACTTCTTTTAAAAATCTTGCTTAAGAATTACTTGTTGCATATGAAAAAATGATTTTCATTAAAAAGTACATAATTGTTACACTCTGCCTTTTAATATTCCGATCTGAAAACATCCTCTTTTAATGTGTAAACAAAAGAAACCTTCTTGCACCATTATCAGCAGTTTTCATTGTCTAAAGTCATATGCATATAAGTTAATATTTAACAAAAGTACTTTTCCTAGTCTCAGAACTTAATTCCTCCTTTGTATCTTTAATAATTGTATATTGGACTTATCACTGTGTTTAACACAATGCTGGTGAGAATTTGAGAGCTCAGCAAGTGCGCAGCATAAACTCTGATAACAGAGAGGAGCCTTTAGAAAACCTGAACTAACATAAGGGTAAAGAAGTTCATACAGAATTTCTCCCTCAGTGCCTCTGCATGCTGTGCAAATGTGTACTGTATGTTGTTACAATTCTATCTGAATTATTAGAATGAACGTCAGATCTGTCTGCTTGATTGCTCTAATTCAGTTCTTTGTTTGGAAACATGAAAAAATTTACTGTGTGGTAAATTCTGTGTACATTCTAATATTTTAATTTTTTCTGGATTTATTTATTTTTACTATCAATATCATATTAGCAAAAGGACCAATTCATGATATTAATATTGTTTCAAATATTAAAACTGAAGCAAGCAGAAAATCCCGGTACCTTGCTATGTTTAGCTTGTTATTGATGTTTGCTTTAAGCCATATTCATTTGTAGTGCAGTTATTTTGAAATGGTGGCATTATGTCTTGCAGAACTCACTGATAACAATTGTTTTCCAGAAGGTGAAACTCCTTACTTGGGTATGTTTCCACAAATACATTGCTCAAGTGGCAGTTAGTCACTTGCCTTTGAGCAAGAGCATCTGCAAGCCATTTTATCCTGGGAGTGAACCTTGTGGTGTTTGTATCTGTGCAATTGCCATGAGGATCCATAGATCCAGCAGCTAAGGCTAACTTTCACCCTCTTTGCCCAGAAGGGAGCGAGGCCAATGGTAGCAATTCTGAACCTGCTCATGCTAGAAGGACTCAAGTTCAAAACTTGAACTGGTTTTCAATGATCTGCATGGGTCAACTATTCTGCATTGACGGTGTCAATTTTTTTTTTCCTGAACCTTGCTCAAAAACAATAGTGAGTCAATTTCAAAAGCAATTATTCTGTTGTGAAACAGTTTGGGACATCTTGAGGATATTATTGGGGTTATTAGAAAAGCAAGTTTCTTTTTCTCTTTTGAGCCTTTCTAGCTCAAGAGCTAAAGTTAATAGTGTGCTGTTAATAGAATATAGTTTGTTCTGAAGTTTTTTGCGCGTTAGAAAGGTGCCTTAATTTGTGCTACCACAAAGAGCTGCTGAGGGCATGTCAAGAGAACAGGAAAGTTAAAAGGTTGAGTTTCAAAGGCCATCCAAAGCTACTTTCTCAAAATTCCGAAAGGCCAATTAATGAAGCGAAACGTCTGGAAGCAAGTTATTTCCCCCATTTTCCTTGTGTGGATAATATCGTGTTCTCAAGACAACCAAGAGAAGCATAGTACTTTATAAAAGTATTGCTTGATGGGGTGAGCATTTTATGAAAACCACCTTTTTAACAGATATTTCTGAACAGTTTTGATCAATTCTACAGGGAAACCATTTCAGATTACTGGGATTTAAAGGTATCAGCAACAGAACTTTTTGTGCACTTTCCTTCTTTTCAATTGGAAATGCCTGTGAAATGTATTTTAAAGCATTTTTGAAATATAAACGTAGTAGTAGTTACTGACGGAAATATTTTTCAAAACAGGATGTTGCTTAAATAGTTTCATAATAGCATGTTTGGGTTATCTTAGTTATCCAAACTGTATATTTGCTATTTCTACTGACTCTGTTTCCTGTTAGTAGCCAGAAATATAAATGTTAAATACCATGAATATTTTCTTTGAATACTGAAATATAAAAAAGTTATGTATAAGTTTCTGGCTACCTATAAATGCAGATAATTCTTTTTACAGTATGAACTTGTTTTCTGTAAAGCATTACAATTCACCTCATACTTGGAACTTTCCACTGCTGAATAAGCTATATACAAAAATTTGGCATTTCAATTTAGCAGAAAAAATGGGGAAAGCTCACCTGATAAACAGGCCTGGTACTGATTCTTATAGTCCATCAGGTGATCAGACACCATCTGCAAACTGTTCTGACTTAGCTGATCTGAACTGAGTCAATGATTGGATTATTATAATTGGCCTCAACATTCTGGGCTAAGAAAGGGAAAAATTCTAAGATCCTCCACTCTTTTGATTCTGCAAGAATGCATATGGATGGACTTCTGGTGAACTCAGGATCAAGCTTGTCTGTGATTTCCACTCTCCACAGTTGAATAAACAAATGAATAAATAATAATTCCTTGGCTAAGTAGTGAAAGAGCTGGTGTCTGTGGAGAATCACTGACCTTGGGAAAAGAAATGAGCTGTTGTTTGCTGGTTGTAGATAAATGGCACTTTTCAGAAGTCTGATCATGCCATTTGACTATTCTCCTGGTGTCTAATCTGAGAATACCTTGTAGGGAGGCAAAAAATCGACTCTTAAAATAGGATATTAGAAAGTGCCAACTTTTCAATATATTCAATGGCATATAATCTGCTATGCTTGGGTTCATAAATGGAAATTCCATTCTGTGATAAATACAGAATAACATTTTGCATAAATTAGTACTGAATATACTTAGTACAATGTAAATATTCTGGTAACTTGTTAATTTAAGGGCATGTTTCCCTGCAGCAACTGGTTTATCTTATTGACAGATTCACTGTAATAGTTTGTTACATAGCATGTTATAATAAAGCTCTGTAGAAAAAACCATACATTGCTTAAGGAGCAAATTTATCATTCAAAGAAATAAATGTGTTTTCCCTCTCTGAATTGATTTTTTTTAAGATTTTTATATAGTTATTGGAACTATAACTTAATCTGATATCCAATGTCAGTCTGTTCTTGTTTTAAAATTCATACACAGAAAAGATTTATCATTCTCAACTTCTCATGCATGGAAGCAACACAATACAGAAAAAAATGGAATTAAGGGACTGATCAAGACTGAAACTGTGATCCATAACAAGAAACCATAACAACTTCAATGAATTTACCATAGTGTCTTTAGAATGGAAAAGTAACTCAATGCAGTGGGAAAAAATCATGCTGAGCAAAAGAAGGTGAAATTATTTAAGTAACAAAATATTTGCATAAAGTCTGAGTTTTATGGGGGGAAAGTGCCTTAAGTAGAGAGAACAGAAAGAATTCCAGAGAGCAGACAATTGTGGGCACATTGAACAGAATTTTACCAAAAATCAGCCAGGATTCAATTTTGGGAAGTTTCAAGTTGGGTTTAACTCTGTGAGCTCCAGTGAGTTATCTCATTCCATTCTCCGCTGCTCACCTGCCTAAGGATGCACCATGCCTCTGGGGTGCCACTCTTGTGTGATATTGTACTCATTAGCAGCAGAAATATTTGCCGCAGCCAGGACCTTTGAGGGTTTCTGCCACTGGCCACGATATTTAAAGCCCAGCAGAGCACCAGATCAGTCATTGCCAGCCATGAATAGCCCTTTCACAATTCACATAGTAGGAAGCAAACAAGAAAGTAACGCTTCTGAGCACACATCAGTGGCACTGGTTGTTTCACATACCAATATCAATGTGCTGAGTTAGGCAGCACAGTTCTCTTCCTCCCTGGAAGAATTCTTATAAAAATCAATAACAAACAGCTCAATAACCAAGAGGGATAAATGAGGGGAACAAAATCAAAATGGTGTTGGAGGGGCATATGATGCATCCCAGACCTGCCATCTTGAAAAGCTTCAAGAGTACTGGTGGACTGCAGCTTGTTCCCTCTCCAAGGAGACCCGGGTGCGGACATAACCGCAAAGGTGAGGCTGGTTGTTGGGAATTACCAACCCCTGCCACTGCCTGGATCTGTTGATGGCCCCCTTGCCAGGCCCACAAGGGGTACCTATGACCTTTCTGCCCTCCTCTGCACCAGGTGCCCAAAGGTGAGCTGGTGCAACCAAAGAGCAATCAAAGGTTTTTAAGGTAACTAAACAGGGATGCAATCTACCATAACATATAAGTATACATACAAGATCTACAAGCTCCACAGAACATACAGTTGACCTGGGAGCCCACAAATGATATTTTTTTTAAATAAACCTAATCACCAATTTACAATAACAAACAACAAACATTCACAAGAACAGAAGAAAGCAATCACAAAAAAATTCAAAAACCAAAGAAAGCAAGCAAGGGATGGTTTATATCAAAATGGCATTGGGGGGAGGGACAATTCATCCCAGCACCCATAGTGACCATCTATCCCAAAAGGTTTCAATAGTACCAGGGAGCACCATATGCTCCTCCTCCAAGGGCAACTGAGTGCAGACATAACGTTAGAAGAGAGGCAGGCAGCAGGGGAGGGTAACAGCCCCCCTCACAGCCCACAGTCTGGAATTGTTGATGGCTACTTTAGTCAGGGCCCAGGAGCAGGCCTGAGGAGGTCCTCCAACCTATCTGCTCCCCGCTCAGTTACTGGCTGCCACAAAATCAAGAGTGTGGGGCTTAATTGCTGCCAAGAGAATAACTATAGTTTTGTTAATAACTATAGAGTGGGTGCAGTCTCCCACAACCTATGTATTGTTTTCCAAGGACTCCACAGCACCACCAAACAGATAGCTGGCCTGGGAGTCTGTGAACTAACTTAATCCATGATTATATTCAACTGCTACATGCAGAAGCCTCTAACCTATAATTTTGCTACTCATGATGGCCCACAGTGCTTCACGGATCCCCAGACTCAAGTTGACAGATCTGTCTGAAGTCTGTGTCATTTAGCACATCCGTCCCAAAAGTGCCACATAACACGCTGGAAGTTATTCTCAATGTGAAGGCAGGATTTTGTCTCCATAAGAATTGTGCGGTGTTCCCTCTTACCAATATTGTCATGTACAGATGCATCTATAGATGACAGATTGGTAAGAATGAGGTCGAAAGTATGTTTTTCCTTCTTGTTGATTCCCTCACAACCTGCCGCAGACTCAGAGTAGCAACTATGTCCTTTAGGACCCGACCAACTTGATCAGTGGTATGGCTGCCAAGCCACTCTCGGTGTTGGACATTGAAATTCCCCCACCCAGAGTACATTTTGTGCCCTTGCCATCCTCAGTGCTTCCTCCATGGAGGAGTACTGATATGTGGTAATCAGCAAGAGGTTTCCTTGTCCATGTTTAACCCAAAACTTTGAGATTTCATTCTTGGGATCCGAAGTCAAAGTTAAGGACTCCCAGGAAAACTGCAAACCCCGCCCCCCCCACTGCTGTATACCATTGTGCTACCACCACCTCTGCCAGGTCTGTCCTGCCAGTGGGACAGGACATATCCAGTGATGTTGATGGTGGTGTCTGGGACATTGTCTGTAAGGTATGATGCTGTGAGTGTGACTATGTCAAGCTATTACTTGACTAGTCTGTGAAACAGCTCTCCTAATTTTGGCACTAACCCCCAGATATTAGTGAGGAGGACTTTGCAGGTTCTGCATCTGCCGTTCTCATTTCCGGTGCCTAGGTCAAAGCCAGGTGATCCGTCTGGTTTCATTCCTTTGAGACTTTGTTGCAACTGGTACAACTGAGTGGCTTGCTGGACCATTTCAGAGGGCATTTGAGAGTCAATCACATTGCTGTGGGTCTGGAGTCACATGTAGACCAGACCAGGTGAAGATAGCAGTATCCGTCCCAAAAGGACATTATTGAGCCAGATGGCTTTTTCCGAGTGTTTTGGAGAAACACTAATTGGAATTAATAAGATTGGAGCCAGGAGAATGTTGAAATAGTGAAATCTGAAAATAATAAGGGAATGTAGGAGGGTTTTAGTGATAGATTTACACAAGTAAGAATGAAGATAGCAATAGGCAATAGGCAAACATTTGAGAAGCTCAGACTTGACCAGGAAGCTGAGGTTGTACTTAATCTGCCAGATGACACAAATGTATTGTGAGAAGGACAGGGAATGTGTTTAAGGGGACTCAGGAGGCCTGGTGAGTTGGGAAGACACTGGAAAGTTGAAATTTAATATGGGCCAGTACAAAGTAATCTGTATTGGTAGAAGAACATGGAAATGCAATATAAATCAATTCTAAAGGGAGTGCCTGAACAGAAGCCTTTAGTTATGTACACTAATTATCAAAGGTGCCAGGGCAATTTGAGAAAATAGTTAAAAAGGAAATGGCATCCTGGGCTTTATAAGTTAAGACATGGAATACAAAAGAAAGGATTTTTTTTTAATTTAGTGAAAGTGAATTCCTGGAGCAAAGCCATCACCTTCTCATGGATTGAGTTTTAAGGTGATTAGCGCACCACTTAATCTATAGATGGGACACTCCTTTGTAATGTGCAAGAGAGATAGTAGGAACTGCCGATGCTGGAGAATCTGAGATAACAAGGTGTAGAGCTGGATGAACACAACAGGCCAAGCAGCATCAGAGGAGCAGGAAAGCTGACGTTTCGGGTCCAGACCCGAATATGATGTGCAACATTGTTTACGTCTCTCCACAAGGATACAAGGAAGTAGTGATGAACATTTATGAAACACTGGTTTAGCCTTAACTGAAGTATTGTGTCTAATTCTGTGCACTGCTCATTAGTAAGGATATGAAGCCTTAAAGAGAGCACAGAAAATATTTACAAGATTGGTTCTAGGGATGAGGGACTTCAGTTACAAGGACAGACTGGAGAATCCCTCTGACAGAGGGGTTGAGAACCAGGAAATGAATTTACTGTGATTATTAAAAGGGCAGTAACTGATGTGAGAAAACATTTGAACACAGCAAGTGTTTAGGATCTGGAACACACTGCCTGTGAGTGTGATGAAGGCAGATTCAACTGGATTTCAAAAAGGAATCAGATAAGCACCTGCACAGGGTACACAGTAAAAGGAAAAAGTGGAGGACATGTGGGACCAGTTGCTCTTGTAGAAAGCTAGTACAGAATTGACAGGCCAAACTGATGAAGGGTCAAGGCCCGAAATGTCAGCCTCTCTGCTCCTATGATGCTGCTTGACCTGCTGTGTTCATCCAGCCCTGCACCTTGTCCTCTTTCTGTGCTGCTTTCTCACTTTCTACCCTCCAGAAAGTTACGGTCATTCGAAACGGTGCCTGTGTCTTAAATCACAGCAGGTCCTGTTCCTCTCTCAGTCATGAACTCATTGATTGTCTTTGGCTCCCATTCAAGTAATGTCTTGACTTTAAAATCCTCTTCATTGTTTCCAAATTAATTCAATTCCTCTGTCTATCTCTGTCACCTCTGCCAACTCCACAACACTCCTGGATATCATTGTTCCTTTAATTCTGGCCTCTTGTACAATTCCAATCATATTTCCTTCCTGCACTGGTGGGCATGTCTGAGTGACTAGCTCTATTCCTTTACTCCTCCTCTCTACCTCGTTCCTCCTTTCAGAAACTTCTTAAAACCTATCTTTTTGAATAAGGTTTTGGTCATCTGACACAATGAAGGTAGAAGTTCCGAACCCTGAACAAGGTGGGCAATACTGGGTCAGTTGGGAAAATACGGTGAGAATGGAAAAATCAGATTCTCAATGTTGAGAAAAAATATCCGATTTTCCACCAAAACATTTGATCGCAAGTTGACATCGTTAAGGAGCTACATATTTTTCTTTTTTAGATTGTAAACTGAAATGGAAGTCAGACAGCTATTTGGCTGAAATATCAGGAGGGTTTTGCAATTTGGAAAAATCAAGTGGTGCAAGTTTTGAGCTTTGTAAGAGAACGTTGCATTTCAAAGCAGTAAAGGAGATACTATGAGACAGATTTGCACCGAGTTCAGGAA